TTGCCTGCCCTCCAATGATGCTAAAATTACATTGTTTTTGAGTCTTCTCGCTGAGTTTTAACTGACTGTACGCATAACTAAGGTCAAATGTTGAGAACAGTGTACTGCCCGGTTTTTTGTGACCTTCCTGAGCTGATTGAGCCACGTTATCAAGGAGTACGTCTTTATTTGGCATTTGATACTTATTCTTGTGTATCTTTTTATTAATTTGTTTAGAATCCATTGCTAGTTTGATGGATTGGTCTTTCTTCACTGTGATGACTATCGGGCTTATGAAATGCTGGTCACTACATTTTTCAAGTTTTATGATGTGTCCTTGATCTATAAGAAACCTGATTTCTCGCTCCACTTTCTCTTGAATATGGATGGCAATTCTTCGACCTTTTTCTTGCAACGCTTTGAATTCTTGGAGAAATGTTGTATGAACCATATGGTTTCTTGCTCTACCGATTCGTGTACATAACCCCGAATACGTAGATTTAACCCATTTATGTTAGTATTAACTGACTTACCAGCTGGTTGCTGCTGTAGTTGAATACCAATCAGAGGTAGGAGGTTTCTTCCAAATATCTCTGCGCGTCTGTCGTCCTTTACGATGAGGGATTTTGTCTTTATCGTCCATCCACCGGATTCAATGGGTGCGATGATTCGTCCAAGCAATGAAATTTTATATCCGTTTTAACAAAACATTCTGTTTGCCTCGTCGTTATCGTTTGTTTTTATCCGTTTGGCTGATTTAACTGTAGTCATTATTTGATTTGCACTCTTTTGGTTGATAAATGACGTGGGTGAGCCTGTGTTTGCGATAAACACTAGGTTGTTATCTCCACATCTAATCGGTATTAAATGTCCCTTCAAGTCTGTATCATCTAGTTGTCCAATTGTTTTTTTTTCGAATCGAATCGCATTCGTTGTCGAATCGTCCGGGTGGATTAGCTCCCAGCCAGGGATGAGATCGCCGGCTTGCATGTAGTTAAAGTATGCTGTTACATCCGTGTCCTGCGAGAATGGTTCTACTGTTTGTTTATCGTGACTTGCGTTTACGTCCGATGATTTGCATAGCCGCGAGTAGTGTCCACGTTTGTTACACTTATTACAGATTTTGTCCCGTGCCGGACATTTTTGGAGGTGCCCCATGCCAAAAAGATTACCACATTTAAAGCATTGTGTCTTTTGGTCTGTCTGCTGTCGTTCGGAGTTCCCCCTTTGTTGGATAACGATTATTGGTGTTACCTCTTTTTTGAATGAAATCAACTAGTTCGGATTTCACATTGGATACTTGGGTAGAGAGGGGAGATCCCTGTTTTCGGATAATCAACTGGTTTTCTAAACCTTTTTCTCTCCTGATTGCATAATCTAGCGCTTGCTCGGGTGTTTTCGTTTCCGCCCAGAGGTCTTTTTGTGACTCATCGTTCGACATGTTTGCGGTAAACGGGTCCCGGATGATCTCTGTCTCTAGTCGTCCGTCATTGCAATTGGGCCATTTGAAGTTTCCTTTCACAACCAATTTTGTTAATAGGCAGTGGTATTGCTCTATGTTTTCTGTCTTCCCTTGTTTTCTTGTGGAGGCCTCTTAGCGTTCAAATGTCACATTTGTTTCCTTTACGAAGAGTCGTCTCAGTCGATCCCAGAGGTCTCTTATTGAAATTTCGTGGATTTTGAGATCCGGATAGTATTTGGTCAATGTTCTTTGACCCTCAGTTCCCACACACAAGCATATATAGCTCGTGCATTTGATGTCCGCCTCTTTCCATAGAATTCCATATACTGTTGGGCCAAGATTGTCCAAATGTTGACATTGATTATTCCATGTGACCCGCTTTTCTTAGTTGCGTAGATTGCGATCTCTAAATTGTTTATCGGTTTCTCCCTCGATAAGGAGTTCGTACCCCGTTTCTTGAGGTTTTCTTACGGCTGGGGGGTTTTGTAGGAGCGTGTTCAAATTTACTCCGTCTTTTGTGATAATGCCAAGGAATAGTTAATGATTCTACTTGTCCCACTCTAACGGTGGTTCCGCTGAAGCTTTTTGCCAGAATGGTAATGGTGTGATTCCCAATGGGTTTTTGGTAACTGCTGGCTGCGCCATGTTATACCCACGGAAGTGATAAGCTATATCAACTGGATTGAGACTCTAAGTGTTCTATGAAAAAAGAAGAGTTTGAACCAACTTAAATTCATTCGACGTTAACGAAAGTCTGTTCATCTAGAATCTGACTTCGAAAGCATGTGAGTTTCAGAAGCTCATAATAATTATATTATAACAAGTTAGGTTTAGATAAAAACGTATTATAACAGACTTCTATAATTTATGTAATTAATACCAACTGGTTATATAGCGCCTAGAGATTAAGTATGTTGTATAAAACTGTTTGGTATTTCAGTTTCAGTAGATATAATCTCTTCTCTTTCCTGTATCTGTTCTTCTTCTATCCACTAGAAACGGACGGAATATTTGCGCTTGAGTGGTTTTTTCACCAACAAATTTTGATTTTTTAACGAGCCATTTTGCAAGGCTATGGAGTTTAAAGATAGCCAAAGTGAATCGACCCCCCCACCCCGAACTCGCACGAGCATCAGTTCCATGATGTAGAGAGTTAGAAGTTCAAATATAAAAACCAAAAACGTTTACCGCCAAATTGGCTCATTGTTCCGACTTTCGATACGAAAGTAACGGAAAATTTGTGCTCGGGGTGGGTTTTTTTTTTCTTCAGACAAATTTCGACTTTTTAACTAGCCATTTTTGACGGAAATTTTCTATATCATTCGAAAGCTATTGTTGTCCTGGGCTTAAATTTGAAAAGATATTTCACCTGTGATCATTTTTCGTAAAGTTATGAGGGTTTAAAGATTGCCATTTTGGCCATTTTGATCAATTTGGGACAATTAACGCGCAATATAATTCGCGCTATTAACGCGTAAGCGGAGAATTAGTCCGTCTTAGAAATCGTTCCAAATTGGTTGTAAGAAGCTTATTTGCCACAATTGATTTGGTACAAGGAGCAAAATCTATTGTTTTGTACTTTATATGGCGTGTGGGGGTGATGACTTTCTTAGAAAAATTTTCAAATTTTAGAAAAAAGTTTTTTTTTTTTTCATTTTTTTTTATTTCATTTAATTTTTTTTATGATGTTTATGTTATTACTGCTCCATAAACGTTAAAAGGCAGTCGAAACTTTCAGGGCTTCGCCCTGATACGAGTAGTCTTGTTGTTCCGACTTTCGATACGAAAGTAACGGAATATTTGTGCTCGGGGTGGGTTTTTTTTTTCTTCAGACAAATTTCGACTATTTAACTAGCCATTTTTGACGGAATTTTTTTATATCATTCGAAAGGTGCTGTTGTCTTGAGCTCAAATTTGAAAAAAATATTTCACCTGTGATCATTTTTCGTAAAGTTATGGGGATTTAAAGATTGCCATTTTGGCCAATTGGGGACAATTAACGCGCGATATATTTCGCGCTATTAACGCGTAAGCGGAGAGTTAATCCGTCTTAGAAATCGTTCCAAATTCGTTAAAAGAAGCTTATTCGCCATAATTTGTTTGTTACAAGGAGCAAAATCTATCTTTTTGTACTTTGTATGGCGTGTGGGGGGATGATTTTCATAAAAAATTTCAAATTTTAGAAAAAAAAATTTTCATTTTATTTTTTCTTACATTTAATTTTTAATGTTAATACTGCTCCATAAATCTTAAAAGGCAGTCGGAACATTCAGGGCTTCGCCCTGATACGAGCAGTCTTGTTTGATTTATTAACAAGCGATACAGTTCGTGATTTTAAAGCGAAAACGAAGTTTTAGTTCTTCTTAGAAATCGCTCTAAAATAAAACAAATCTGCTCGTATCAGGGCAAAACCCTCAATGTTCTGACTGCCTTTTAATTGGTCTCGAATGGTTTTAGATAAATTTTAAGCAGATAATATTAATTTTTAAGCGTTAGAAATTGAGTCGTCTATAGATATAATAAGATAATAGGGTCGTAGCATTTAACATCTGTGCATATTAGCATGCGTTAATTGCTTTAAGTGGATGAGCTTTCAGGCGAAAAACAAATTGACCTAAAGTAAAACCACTTGGATTTTTAATGAATTAGCCAAAGCCTAATTTCATTTAAATAAAAATTTCGACAACCACTTGATCTATTAGAAGAGTTAAGTTTTCCCTTTCGCCTATTTAAAAATTCGGTTAAGGCTCTTAAAAATACACTTTGCTCTTAAGTTTCCATCCACCCCATCGCCTCTTCCTTTTCACAATATCACTGAAAACCAAAATCATATTTAAGGGGAACTATTGCACCTTTGGAACTAATTTACGACGCCTAATTTTCGACGAAATGTTTTTACTAAATGCGCGCTGGCCGCCAACATATAGAAAGTTTGTTGAAGCCCCGAAAAAATTTGGCTAAAAAGAGTCTGTTTTGTATTATGGGAGAGCTACGAAAATCAGTTTGATCAAACGGATAAAAAAGATTTCGATCACCACAACGAGAAATTCTTGAATACTCGCCTGATGGAAATAGTTAGACTTTGCCAATCAACTCGCAGGACTAATCACGATAAAAAACAAACAAATTTGAACAAAAAACAAGAAAATTCTGAGACTACACTTTGATGAGTTGTTTCAATCGCCGTGTCACCACATCTGCTGTAAGTTAGCAGACCGTAGACCGACGCAGTGCCAGTGAGACATATCAAGAGATCAGCTACCATATGCTTCCTGTGAATGTGAGAAAACGCGCGTAATAAGTGCTCAGTTAGACTAAAGTTGGTCTCTCTTTGTTTCACTGAGAGATCAAATTAGCTAAGAAAAGCATGAAAAGAATAAACGGCATGATTTTGTGGTATATTTTAGACTGTCGCAATGTCTATCTGTAGCAGCGACACAATTATATCCCACCACAATTTATGTCGCCTTATTTTTCGCATTCAATCCACGCACAGACATTCAACGCTCTCTTAGGTCCCCTTTGGTCCAGTCGATTTGTCTTGATTGTGTTTGCAAGAGCAACATAGCGTCTACGTGCTAGTCTCAGTTCCTGTCTTTTTAGCGTCCGCATTTCAGCTCCGGATTGTCTGTTGTCTGTACTTTCAGGAATTAGGTCTCTGTAGTCTCGATTTTTCCTCCCTTTTGCGAGTAGCATTTTATCAATGTTCAGTAAAGGTATAGATACCAAGTTATGTTTAGTGTATCACTACATGTCATTTTGGAGGCGGTTACAATAACACGATATATTATGTATGTCATAGAAAGATTTCACACCGCAAAATTTAAGACTTACCAAGTCAATTCTAGTCACGTCATTTTACTAGTCACGTCAAAGTGAGTTCGCAGTCGCATGTTTAACTCACTAAGTCACATATTTACTGCACTTCATTATTCTCTTCACAAAATCACAATTCTCAAAACGCAATCACGCGTCGTCCGTCCTTCGATTTGGCAACGAAACGAGTCATAAGCCATCACATTTAGCCGCAATTTCAATTTTAGCAACAACAAAATCACTGTTTGCCACCATTAACGTCAGTCGCATCATCGAAAAATCACACACAAAATTCAATCCGTACGTCGAACATTGGTGCAAAAGAAGCACGCGCTTGCGTAGTCCAATTTTTACCGTGTTGTCTTCAATTCCCATATTTCACAGAGCAATGCGACTTATCTAACTTACTTTTCCTTACTGTTAGCTTATTTTATCTGAAATGTGAGAGCGAAAATTTTCAGCGTCTTCATCAAATTTACTACACGCAATTTACTGCAGCGCAATAAAAACAACAAAAATATAGAAAAAAGGAGGCAAAAACATTTCTGCGACATTTTTAGCGTTAAAAAAGAAGGACGAAAATTGCTTGAAAATGAAAAGTGTAGTCAGGTGAAACTTCAGTTGGTGCGAGTGGTGTTTATTTTTGACAACAGGAACTCACAGATTTCGTTCCTTTCCTGTCGCTTGGGCCAATCAATGCGACAGGAAGAGCCTTTTTCCTTACTTATGCACAATAATCACAGCCTTCTAAATAACAGAAGAATAAAGCAGAGGCTCATTTGTGATATAACTCCATATCTTGTCTTGAGCTGCATATGTGGTTGGTGCGTTGTCTTGTCTTGTCACATTTCGCCTATTGACATTTTTGACATTTGGCCTAGCAGCGCAACACACTTCCTTATAGAGCATAGCGAGTCCACACACGTGAACACAATTGCCAAACACACACAGACGTTTCCTGTCCCGATTCTTTTCATGCTTCCCAATTGATTTCTTTCCCGCACACACTAATACTGACTGACTCAGTCAATCACAGCAGCTCAAAAGGGCTCTCTTGTTTTCCACAATTACAGACAACCCGCCCGGCCGGGACAGCCAAGCAGGACCGACCTTACATTACGCCACACACAACATAGAGCTTTGTGGTGTCGTAAAATTAGCTTTTCTTTTACCACACATTACTTATTCAGAGCCCGATTCGACACCCAATGCAAATTGCGTGGGTCTGCATTACTCGCAAGGAAATTTAACTCCACTGAAAATACAGATTTCTTGAATGCATTTTTGTCGGTTTCGTCTCCAGAAATTTATGTAACTTCATAAACTGACACAAATTGAGCTCGAAAAGTCTACATAGTCCTGACGTTTCAAATTATTATTATCAAATTGTATTTTGAAACAGTACCCAAATGAAGTTTGACGATCCTTCTCCTTCTAAAGGTCAGATTTCTCCTCGTGGTGGGTCAACTCAGGCGCAAATTAACACATTACGGTGCACAGTGTCGTCTTGCGCATGCAGACATTTCACACCCAGTGCGAATAATCAAAGAGAGTGCACGAATTGCAGTCACGGTTGGATTCCACACGCTGAAGATAAACTGCATCACGGAATTTCGGATTTGGTGCAGACTCCTCAGCCTGTCAATGTGGATGTCGTATTTGATGTTGCGTCTTTAATTCTCTACGGGTCGCAGGCAATCCCGATAAAACTGAAGATTTTGCTCGACAAGTTGCTTGCAAGATTGCAACATAGTGAAGTTCTACAGGTAATGAAAAGTTGAATGATATATTCGTTTTCGGTTTTAGCCGAAACATGATTCAAAAACAAGTTTCAGTTTGAAAAACACAAACAGACCATTTGGTGTTTTTTCGATGACATTTGCTGATTCAAAACTCAATAAAATTGAATGTTTTAAGCGCTTCTAATTGCTTTACTGTAGGTGATTTATTCGCTGGCGTGGACATATGAAGACTACGTTCGCGGTTACAAATACAAGGAAGGTCTCTTGACTCTCAGCTCTTGGATACTTCCTAATCAAGATGAAGAAAAAATAATCCTTCGGCACTTCGCTAAATTCCCAGAGACCCGAGATGTTGCCAATAAGTTCATTCAAGTTTTGGAAGATGGGAAGAAACATCAGCCTAATTCCGAAGAAGCTAGAAGCGTTTATCAATCAAAGTTACGAGGAATCATCGCTTCGATGCCAAGCAGCATCGGGACACCAAGCTCGCATGTACCGCCAGTGCAAAGTCCGGTGCTGTTTCACGCGATGTCGGGGGACAATAAGTCGCCGTCACATTTTTCGCTGAGGGGTCCTCCCGGATTGATGCAGCCGTCGATTAGCCTGCCGACAAAGACAACCCAGATTGTGAATCCTGTTCCGAAAATCACGCAGCCCTTTTCTGGTTAGAGTACATTTATAAAGCTTTAAAGGTACAAAATGGCCTCGTGGATTTTTTTAACGAAAAATTCGTACTCATTGGTGTTGTATTAATAGTTTATGCCACTGTCATGACTGCTTCTTTGTTATTTGCATGGTTCATACACGGACAGGCATTTTCTACTTATAATACTTTCTACAAAAAATTCGTCTTAAAAAAACTACCGCGGAATATTGAACTTTTTTTGTGAATTCTCTTAACATATGTCAACGACTTCGATATTATATGATCAGTGGCGTGCGCAGAAACTTTTCTAGGGGGGGAGCGGTTTTTCGAAAAGTTTTGAAGATTTTGACCTTTTTTTAGGTTGACCAATTTGATTTTCCGAGCTCACTATAAGGACCTATATAAAAAAATTTCTGCGCCGAAACAGTTTTTTCTAGGCAATTTTTGGAAATATTTGACCGAAAAGCACCGTTTTTTCGGCGACCGGTTCCCCCTCAAAATTAGGTTAAATTGGAGCCGTTTAGAAAAATTTTGAGGTTGGTCAGCCAAAAATGAATGTCGTTAAGTCATACCAAAGGGGGACCCTATGGAAAAATTTGGCAACCAGAATTGAGAGGAAGAGGACTGTCGACAAACCACCACCCCCCCTCCTCCCCGCCCCCCCCCCCCCCCCCTCGACACACTACTGGACAAAACTGTCTCTCGAATCTAAATCCGCGCAGCTGTTTTTACTCATTCAAACAAAACTTTCATAGTGAAGTTTGATAGAATGTATACGCATCTTCTTTGTTGCAAAAACGCTCAGTGGTATTTTTGATTGTTTTTTTTTAAATTTTACTGCGAAAATTTCTGAACCAGGGGTGGATCAGATTTTCTCGAGATAAAGGGGGGGGGGAGTTGGTGATTTCTCAAAAAAACTCTCGAATTTTTATAAATTTTTGTCGACCTTCTTTTCTAACGTCGACCAAATTGTTTCTCCGAGCGCTCCCAGAATACTATTTAGACACATCATGTTGACAAACCTTTCTGCGTCATAAGCAAGTTTTTGCAAAGTGTAAAAAATGCCGTTTTGGGCACTTTTTGGATGGTTTTGACGCGCGCGCTGGCCCTAAAAGTTATTATATCTCGCACCAAGGAGCCTTTAGAAACGTTTCATGATTCGGAAATGGATGATGAAACGTTTCATGAAATGGATTGTTATAAAATAGCATCAAAGGGGATCCTTTGGGTGGCGAGGGGGTCGATTCCCCAAGGAAAGATCGGAAACCATGGATGTTTAGATTTCTCTCCGAGAATTCAGTCACGACAAACGATAACGATCAATCAGAATGAAGAAATCATTGAGCCTCAATCGATGGCCTTGCAGAGTAAAACTTCGCCCGCGAGGTCCCGACCTCAAAATCCGAGTCCAGCTCTATTCACCTGTACAATCTGTAAACGAACATTCCGATCACCTCTGATGTTTAAACTGCACAAGAACCTCCATGCCAAAGATGCGAACAATTCGGTAGTTTTGAAACGAAAACCGGGAGCTGTTCAAAAGAAACCAAGTTCTGTTTTTGCGACAAACTTCGAAAATGTTTCTTTCGGGGAAATGGAATCACAAGGGAGCTCTTCGCAACCACAAACCACAGCGGACGGAATTTTATCGAAAGTGACTGAGCGAAAATTAGTATCAAACAATGAGCTTCAGAGTCTTCAGAGCTTAGTTGCACACTTGGAAAAGAACAGTTCTCAATCTAAGTCCAATGATAGTGCGACAACCGGAAGACCAGGTGCTCAAAGTTAGTGCAGTTTTTTATTTAATATATTCGAGTAATTTGAGCAAAAGTTTCAAATAAAAAAGTTTTAAATTATTTTAAGATGCTTAAGTTTTTTCTAAAATTGGAGTTCTTCATAAACCTTCGTATTTTTAGAAAGCCCGCTGAAATGTCCAAATGTCAAAATAGGACATGATGTAATTTCATACCCTCCAAACGCGTCCCTGGAGATTGGACCCGGTGGCACTATGATTCCGACCCTGAACTGCAAAGCCACAGCAAGTCCAACGAGCACAACTGGATCAACTAGCATTGCGTCCAACTCATCTCGTGACTCGAGTTCAAATGAGTCCAAAAGTGGGAATCCTTCGCTGGAGTTTGACCTCGAGGTTCCGGTGTTTGCTGAGACGATGGAGGGTCTTATTTGTGGAGTTTGTCACAAAACGTACAAAAACAAGACCTGCTTGAAGCAGCACTTTAATAATGTCCATTTAAGACTGCAGCATTCATGCTGGATCAAAGGTCTGTAGAAATGTCGTTGTTTTTTTTAAAAGCATGTTTTCTAAACTTTGTAATGTTTTACTCTTTCAAACAATAAAAACTTGTTAAAAAATTAGGATACCACTCGTGTTGTAAAAGAGTGACTTAAACTAAGAATAGATTAAGACTGTGGATGATTAAGATTCCTACTAAAATTGTAGGCTTTTATTTAAGACTAAATAAAAGACGGGGATTCTATCTAAGTTAAGAGAGGTTTAAAAGATTGAATTGGTTGCGATTTATTTGTTACGTATCATAAAAGATAGTGTCCAATTCAGAGTCTACCAAAAGCCGTTGCGCTTTTGGCAGGTATATAAATTAACAACTTAAAGGTCGATGGTAAGTTAAGATCAGAGGTTAAATAAACAAACCATAATACTTTTACATTCCCCGCGAAATTTTATCTATAATCTATCCCTTTCGCCTCACCAGAAGGGAACAAAACAAAAATGATTAAGCACTAAGATGAATGAATCAGTAGGCGCATTGTCTAGGACCCCCGAGAGTGGATCTAGATTCGTAAGAACACAGATTTGATAAAGGGCCCAAGAGGCGTATCATAAACTAAGTACAATTACACGGTTATCAGGTCGAAAGGGTGGGTGTACAGTACGGGGAAGACCGGTGATCGGACCCGACGGGCCGGACGGCAAGTTCAACAAACAAAAACAAAATTCCAAAACAAAGCACCTTAGATCGAATAATATGTATTCGTCGGAAGAAATAACTGTAGACTGGTGACTATAGGCAAGCAAGAAACTGAAATAGCACCAGGGTGAATAGAGTCATAAGGTATGCAGGGAGTTATCCTTAGAATAAGCGAAATAACTGGGTAGAACCAAAATGGATAAATCTAATGGTTATCCGGTGGTAGCGCCCCATGGGTTAACAGAACTATAACGAGATTCGGGCTGAATTCTATGGCAAAAGCAAGGGTATAAGTGTTACCAATCATAACTATGGCTTAAAATAACAGCACTAGAGGTTTGTATGACTCTAGGGTCATGGAATGTTAGTAGCATTCAACAATAAACAGGACGTACAGGTACTAAAAGTTTTACAATGGAGTTTTGGTAGATCAAGAATGTTTTTGATAACATCTGTTTTGGAGTTTCTACATCTAATTAGATTCCCGATTTGCTGCTTTATTTATTGTCCATCTCCTTAACTCCTCCAGTGTCATTGGCCGTCCAAGGAGTTCTATCGCCGAAATGATAGAAGAGGTGTTCAGCCAGTCTGGGTCAGGTACGATGGGGACAAATGTGGAAGTTGAAATTTCGTAAGATAGGCCCGATGGGTTAAATCGCGTGGAGCAGACATCAGGGCTAAATTTGACCTTCTTGTCAGGACTCTTTTGATCGTCTGTTTTTAAGGGCTTTGGGTCACTTGGGTACGCATCGTTTTCTTCTCGCAAGTGAACTATAGTAGGCCGTGAAGATGAAGGTGGTGTTAATGTTGTCAGGTCTACTAGGTCGACATGGTGGCTTTCCATTTCTACCGTAGTTGCTTCCAACGTTGAACATACTGAGACTAAACTAGGTGAACCGAATTCTAGGGCATCACGATCTTCCTCAGTTAGATCGACTATACTGGTAAATACTCTCTCGCCTAGCATCTTGGGAGGCTGCCTAGTTCGCATAGGTCTGGTGTTCTGACGTGTAAAAATTTCTGACAGTTTTTTCGAGGGTGGTGATTTCATTGGAGATGACGCTTTCCTTTTAGCAGTACCGGACAATTTCTGTGTCTTCGTAGAACGGTCAGAATGTGTTTGTTTGGGTCCCGTCTCCGCCATGGTGGTTTGTTCTCCAGTAGGTTTAGGGAACTCTCCTCCGGGATTCTCTGGAAGTACCGGCATTTCTTGGATCGCTTCATCGCCCTCCTCCCTAGTGTCCAAGAGAATCAACTGTGGGGTCGCTTGAAAGTCTCTTTCATTGTCACCGGAATCCAAGTCGATCAAAGGAATCTCATCTAACTCGACCTTCTGGTCGGCGTGGTCTGATGATTCTAGCTTAGGATCTGTTCGGTCGGACATTAGGTGTTCGTCTCGTTTCGTAGTTTCGAGTAGTGTTTTCTCCTTGAGGTCTCTTAGTGTCATTAAGTCACTAGCATTATCGTCTGACATCTCTTCATGTGGTTCGATTGTCACTCCGGGTTCATTTAGGTAACTTTTAAGAAGTTCGGGTTTGCCCGACGGGCTTGGTTCTTGGTCGCTCTCGAGGCCAATCGGTGTTCTCAGTCTCTTTCTCTGTTCTTCTTCTTCTCTAAGAAGAGTTTCCCTAGAACTGTTCATGGCCGCGTTTCGCCTCGCAATGTCAAGCTCTTGAAATTTCCACTGAAGATTTCGTTTCTTTTGGGTAGTTTTTGAGCTTTTAAATCCGATATTTCTTGGAGGTTTTGCAGTTTTCCTCAATCCTTTAGTCGCATAAAATCTAACTAATTGGTCTCGTTTTCTCGGACTTGGTTTCTTCTGGGTGCACTGTCTTTTAATGGCTAAATCAGATTTACGTATTATTTTACCATTTTTTAGAGTCACAGTGTGATCTGATTCCCTTACGATTTCGTCCTTAAGTACTCTATAGTATGGTTCATTTTTCATTCTATCTTGGATTTTTCGATAAACAATGGTCTTACCCGACGGGTTGTTCAGAATTGAGTCCTTTATGCCCAAGGCATCTCTTTTTTCTGACCGGGAGAGGACTTTTACTGGGGATCCAGCACTTGTTGGTACATATCTCACGGCATTTGAGATATCCTCCGAGGATGATGAATTTTCATCGACATCTCCATCTTCTATGTCGGCAGGGGCATCCCAGTCATGTCTTCGCTCTCGGCTCATTAGTTTTTTGCCTTTATCTATACATAACAAAGTTTTGTTCCAATCAAGGTTATTCGAAGAGGGTGATTTGACCAAATTATGCCAGATAGTGTTTGGGGATCTACCGAAATGTGCTTCGAAAGGAGAACAGTTAAGCGACTGTTGAGTTACTGTTCTTAAGCATTTTATTATTTTCAGGAGTGCAGATTCTAGTGAAGGTTTTGGACGTTCTTGTGCCATAACCAGGAGTCGTTCCTTAATGGTCCTGATTAGGCGTTCCACTAATCCCGTAGCTCTATGATCACCCACTGGGCTAAATATCACCTTTATGTTGTGATCGTGGCAGAATTCTCTAACTTCCTTGGAGATGAAACCAGATCCTTGATCTGTTCTAATTGTTCTAGGTATCCCGTGTAAAGCAATGTATTTACTAAGGAAGTTTATAATAGATTTTGCCGATGTACTGGATGTTATTTGAGCTGATGGGAATTTTGAAAATCTGTCTACACACACCAATATGTATTTTTTTGTTCCCCATACTAAAGGTAACGGACCAGCGAAATCTAATTCCATTTCTTGGTTTGGTTCTTCGACCATTGGGAGTTCCCCTAGGGTATTGTGTTTTATAAGAGGTTTCAAATTTTTACCTGCTTTCACGCACTCTATACAATTTTCGCCGTGGACTTGGATTTCACGGTAAATTTTCGGCCACCAGATGTATTGCGTTGCCAGGCTTTTCATTGCGAACTGGCCGGGGTGGGCTTCGTGTAGTCTGTTCAGCATAGTCGATCTTAGGCATGCTGGGATTACTAAACGGTTGTCCAAATAGAGGCATCCTCCACTGACATGTAAGTTATTCAAATATGACTTATAATAGTTTCCCAGTTGTAGGATATCCTGTTTTCGGTCTTCCTCGATTGCCTTGATTATCTTTTTCAGAATTAGATCTTGTTTCGATAAGAGGGACATAAATTTAGAGTCAAATATTTCCGGCCAAGAGAAAGGGAATAAGTTAACTGTTTTCTTTTTGCTAGGTGATCTATTCTCGGGTTTGTCCGACGGGTTACTAGTATTTGGTGTTAAAACGTCCGTGTTTTCTTTAGTAGTAAGTTCTTTTTGTTGGTTAAATTCAATTTGTTCTGCCATTTCTTTCAGGATTTTAAAATTCGTAAAAAAGTCGTTAGTTTTGCAAGATGAGTCACACAGTTCTGTACGCGAGTGAGAATTTTGACACACTGAAATGTTGGAATGGTTAGATATCGCTTGGAAAGTTTCAGCGGCATTAGCAATTCGTTTCTCACGTTCTATTTCTTGACTGGTCATATGATCTGTTGACTGGCTAATCGCATTGCAAGAAGTGACGTCATGTGCTAAGAAATGTTGAGAAAATTTATTTCTTATTTGCGCCCACGAATTTTTTGGCATAAGGTGATCAAAGCCTAGGAGTGTACTAATCTGGTTTACTGAAGCGATAACAAACTTCTCGTCATCCAGAGAAACTAGTACGGGTTCACCCGATGGGTGTCGGGATATATAATCGACAAATCCCATATCTTTACCGGGTAAATGTTCTACGGTAAAGTCGAACGGTAATAGTTTATCCGCCCAACGGGTGAGGCGTGATTGGGCCGTTTTAGTGTATTTATCGTCTTTCAGTGCTCCTATTAAGGCTTTGTGATCTGTTAAAATTGAGAATTGTTTACCCAGTAGATAATTTTTGAAATGATCTAGTGCCCAGACTAATCCCAGTAATTCGAGTTCGTTAGTGCTGTATTTTAATTCGGCGATATTCAAAAATCTGCTAGCGAACGCTACGGTCTTCCAATTTCCCCAATGGTCTTGTTCGATTGACGCGCCCAATCCTAAATGTGAGGCGTCGCATTTCACCCGAGTGTTCAGTTTTACATCGAAATGGTGGTTCGTCACCGTATTACAAATTTCGTTCTTGATTTTTTCAAACGCTTCCGTATGTACTGTGGACCACTTAAATGGTTTATTCTTTTGCATAAGTTCTCTGAAGGGTGTTGATAGGGACGCTAGGTTTGGTATGAAGTTATTAAATTGGTTAATCGATCCCATTAAGGATCTGATGTCTTTAATACAGTTTGGTTCTTTTAGGTTTCTGATTGCGTCAGATTTATGTATTAATGGTGTCGTCCCTTTTGCGTCGATTCT